CCCAATCTTCGCGCTCAAGATTTTAAGACTTTCAGACACGCAACATTGACCAAACACAGAAAATACCAGAGATGTGGGAATGCTGGGAGTGTAGCCGGCTTAGCCACAAAAAAGTGCAAACAAAACCAGGTTTTTAGATATTTCCCAAAACCAACCATCAAAAACCGATACTAGCAACCCGCACCCGCACCCGCACCCGCACCCGCACCCACACCCACACCCACACCCCACACCCACACCCACACCCACACCCACATCTACACCACACACGCACACGCGCACGCACACGCACATGCGCACGCGCGCACCCGCACCCGCACCCGCACCCACACCCACACCCACACCCACACCCCACACCCCACATCCCACACCCCACACCCACATCTACACCACACACGCACACGCACACGCACACGCACACGCACACGCGCACGCACGCACGCACGCACCCACACACACACACACACACACACACACACACACACACACACACACACACTTACAGCAAACATGTCCCGCGGCGTTTACTCACTGGTGGTTTTGAAAGCACAGAATCAGAATCCAACTGAACCCAGCTTGCCCGCGGAAGGCGCTGCTGGCATATCCCACCACCAGAGTGGTGGTCACGGATGCAAACCGACAAGGCCGTGAGGACCGCGCTTCGCGCCTGCGGGGTGGTGGCTTCAATCGTTTTCAGGAACCTGAATCCTCCAAATCCGCAGACTTGTAGGGAATTCAAGGTATCAAGGCTCTTATGGAGACTTGATTTGCTGAGCAGGGCTTTTTTTGCGGATTTGTGCGGGTTTTCGCGTTTGTTTTGCGATGCTTTGCGGGGGCGTTCTGCGAGTTTGAAGTTCTTGCGCTGAATTCGTTTCGATTTCGGTAGGACTTTCTGGATGAGCTGGACACGCTTCTGGGCCTGAGGCCCCAAGTCTCGCACACGGCTGGGTTCGATTCCGTTTCGAGGCAACCCCTGGAATTTCAGGAGCCGGAAAATGGGAGGCTGATTTTTTACCGTGCTTGGCGTGGGTTGTGTCAAGTTGTTTTTGCATAGACGTCAAGGCTGGTAGCTGGCTGCTCTTCAGGACGTGCCCCAGCCATGATCCCTGCAAAACTGGTGTCAGCAATCTGTACGCGCATAAGACCCAGCGGCACCACGTAAGTACACGAAGCGGTTGGCCCACTTCCTGCGCCTACCGGTTTGCACAGTGTTTTCTACCCCACTTAGGATACATTTTGCATGTTGCCAGTGACTCAAAGTGAAGCAAGCACTAACATATGCATTCTATAACTGGGCATAAGTATTGTGTAATTGTTTTTTTGTTTGATTGGATTTCGTTTTTTTCTGGATGTCCAGCATGCGCTTACCCAAACCCTCCACCGTTTGTGGTGGGTAGGGAACTTCCACTTTTCCAAACCTGTTTGTTGGTCTTGACAGGTGAATCCCAGGAACTGCAGCTTTTGGGTGATCCTTTGATCCAACCGTGCCCAGGTCTGAGCCTCGGGAATGCCACTCCGCCATACTTCGAGGCGCTGTGGATGGCGGTTCTTGGCCGTGCTCACTGCATTATTTTCGCGGGAATTGAGCAATGGACAGTACGTACGACAAGGATGTTGGCCCCTGTGGTTTTTGGTAAGGATACTCCGCAGATAAACATGGAGTTGAAAAGGGAGTTGTTTGTAAAACAGGGTTGTGGGATCAAGGGTTTTTTCTCACTTCTGTGATACAAGGGAATCTCCCCCTTTATATGGGGGGTTAGTCTTTGGGAAGCCTTTTTTGTTGTATCACAGAAGTGGTCATTTCCGTTGTAAAATGATTGGAGTTGGGGCCATGCGAATCTGGAGTGTGCCCCAGAAAGAGACGCCTTCAACTTATAGAGCTTATCCGAAAAGCAGACATGGGTCCCGCAAATGGTCATATGTGGATCCAATCAGGGCACATCTGGCACCTGGCCTCAGTCACAGTTGCCTCCATAGTAGGTAACCAGGGGAGTTCCCTTGACCAAGCATTGTGCCGACAAGTTCCCTCAAACATGGAAGTGCAGAGGCCAGTTTCCCACAAGTAAGGTAGAGTTGCCTGCGCGCTGCTATGTTAGCGAGGAAAACCTTTTGTTTCATATTTTTCGGGCAAGCGTTTTTTGGGTTTGCCGGTGAATGGGCATGGTTTACCCAGAATCATTGCACTATATGACGCTGCATCCGTTGTTGGCATCAGAGAAGTGGTGGCACTTCCTTGTGTGGTCTCGTGTTGGGAGAGTGGTAAAAGAATCCTCCCTTCACGGCAAGGGAATGCCTGGTAGAAGCAAAGGCTAGGGAGCGACTTGGGTCTCACTTGCAAGCCGACCTTTTAACCTTTTGGTTTCTTCTTTCCAGGTCATCGCGAGTGAGGGGTTAAACAATGTCCACTGCGGTGATCTATTGCCCTTTCAGAAGCTCAAGTTTGGTATCGCCTCAAGCGCTATGTGAAGTGTTGTGGGGGGTTGCTGTTGAGTTGCCCTGTCCGCATGGTGAGCCAGAAAACCCGTTTTTTCTTGTCAGGTTCCATGTGAGTGGACGGGAGGGTAGTTCATACCAGCTTGGGTGACTTGGCCAGTTCTCCCAGAAGGAGCTTCAACCCCTCACTCATCCAAAGGCGGGCCTTTGAACCCAGTCCCGAAAGGTCCCGGAAGGTCAATGGTTTATATGTGTCCCTTGAACCAACAAGTGGGTGTTGCTGTTCGTGGTGCTCTGGTTGGGACGTTTTTTTTTTTTTTTTTTTTTTTTTTTTTTTTAAACAAATCGTGTTTTGTTTTCTTCTGCGTGACATGTGAAACCCATCCGTTTCGCGTGAGTCAGGGCTACAACGCAATACTCAGAGGGAATGATGGAATGGAAATCGGAGCCGAATAAAAATCCATTAGAATAGGCAGGACGTGGTAGTCATTGGAGTTGCAAGCGAAATGCCCAGTTTTCCCACAGCCCAGTTTGATTTTTAGGCGACCTTGTTTGAAGCAACCTGAGGATCACCCGGTTCTGCTGGCTCAGAGCAGGTATGTCTTTCAAGGGCTTCAGCAGGGCTATGGAAACTGTTGCATCAACTCCACATGGTTGTCCTGCCATCCTTTTTCCTGCTAAAAAATCGCGAGCTTTGCGTAGTCGTGTGGTAACCTCGAACCAATCCTTACGCCCTAAGCATCAGGACCCTCCATTGAAGGGGTCAGAACCTCCATTGGAAGGTTCCAAGCATCGGAAGCCGCAGCTTCCACTCCAAATTGTTCACTTGCTTAAGAGTATGGTTTAATCTACCTGGTGTGAAAGGGAATCTATTGTATCACTACTGGAAATTGGCGATTCCCAGCGAGTCGCCCGGTTCCTTAGGTGTTTTTAGACTTGAAGTTGGTTGAGTGGTTGAGTTTCTGAGTTTCCACCACCAAGTGGTTAGTTCCACGAACCATGGAAGGTTCCTATATTTTGTGCCACTAAAAGGTTCGTCATTTTGAGCAGATCCGGGGGAAAGAAAAAACAACAACAACAAAAAACACAAAAACGCAAAAGACAAAAACAACATTTGGACGCTTGCACCCGAGGCAGTGCCGGTGCCCAGCTGGGCTGCAGAGTTGGAGGTGGACCCCTTCGATGGCTCGATGCCGGACACGGTGGGCTTGTGGAGACCTTAGACACCGAGAGAGTTCCGCCCGAAAACCCTGATCGATTGAGTGACTGCTTGGTTGCCAAAATGAGAATCCAATAGGACCAACAATGATTCAGGGATTACGACCAGCATGAGCGCGGGTGCGCTGATTACGATCCACGTCGCCAAAACAGGACCAACATGACCTCGCACCCATCTCATTTTGCGTGCCCCCCCCAAAAAAATAAATAAATAAAAGAGGCGCGCGGCACGAGCTGCAAATCAAGTCTTTGGGCGTCTTTAGGACCCTTGATGAGTCAGGGTCCTGGACTAAGTGTTGCAGCTAGAGGTCTAGGCCAGCAACCCTTGTCCCACTAACCCTGACATAGAATGAAGCTGGGCTGTCCATAAGGTCATCCGGAAGATCCTTACCTTTACGCAAGGAACCGGTCCGCTTTGTAGTGGCCTCATTATAGGGATCGTGGATTGGGATTGACCAACCCTTCAGTTTGAACAGCCCAGAAAAGTAGATTAAGCATCAAGATCTTGCGTGATATCTTCGGCTTTCCCGAGACCGCCTGGCGATTGTTTTTGGGCTCCGAGTGGAACATTTCTACAGGAGAGCCCGCGAGAGGGGGAGAAGGGGGGAAATTTTCGGGAACGAAATGGTTCGGGCAAGATTGTAGAATGGTTGCCAACAAGTGAGCCACCGGCTCACAACCCGGGTAGATGAAGGTTAAGGGACAATCCCCTTGCCATAAACGACCACAAATAGGTGCGAATTTCCGCTCTTTGATTCTTTACATGGTTCTGGGTAGATCATTTTAATACCACATGTTGATTGTGACTCAATTGTACGTCGGGAATGCCAATTTTAGACAGTGTAGGAAGTACATGGTTTGATTGCCCCAGGATATCAAACGGGGATGGCTGGCTCGCAGCAACCCGCATTCGGAGCCTTTCCGAGCCCCACCCGCCACAAGCCCTGCGGAGATGTGGCAGGTCTGTTTGCAGATCTGTCAAGTCCATCAACAAGTTTGGGCTTTCTAAGGGGAAGCACATGGCATGTTCTTCAAGAAGCCTCTTTTGCTTGCTTTGCTCAAGGGGAAGCAAAGCCGGATTCCTTCTCTCCGACTCGACTGCTCCGCATTTGCTACCAGCGCTTGGCCACGAAGACGGGGACGAACAGAAATCCTCCCTATGAATTCGGTCCTGGTGCCCCCCTCTGATACCTTCTGACCTTCAGAAACTTCAAGGGGTGGTGATTCATACATGCATATAAATATTTATTATTACGGGGTTAACATTGCAGTTGATGCGTTCGGGGATTCAGAGACAAAGCCCAAGCATCCGCTTCAAGTCGGTGACTCTCAGGCTAAAACTCGCCTGAGCCTGGCCGCCTGGCAGGCCGCGGTTGCGTGTGTTGGGCATTTATGTCATGGCGCTTGTTTATCTTGACTGCCATTAGGTTGGATCTTTAGACTTTCACTTTTTGGGAAATGAAGGGGGTTTCCAGGTAAACTTTTTGCAGGGGGGTCAACAGCAGCCAAGGCTTTCTCTCGTTAACCCCCCCCAGGTTGTTGATCTCACGGAGGTCGAGCTAAGAAGAAAGGCCGGGTGTTTCATCAAAGCAACACCCTGCTGCACTCCGACTGAAGTTGGGAGAGAAGGCGTTGATCAGGTGCCTTCCGACACGTGCCGTTGCCGACAGGTGCTACTTCCCCAGGTTCGAGTCTTCCGGTTGAGCTGCAACAACTCAGACTTGAGGGGTATCGTTATGGCAAAGGGGCCTCTTCTTTTGATGCCCCCTTTGGGCGTCCATGTTCAAAAGATACACATGCTGCGGTGCGCGGTGCGATGGGTTATTCTGACAATCATTTCACAAATAAATATCAATGACTTCATTTACATATCTCCTTTTGGTCATTCTTTGTTTTGCAACTGTCAATACATCAGGACCCAATTCGCTGCAGTTAACGGTGGTTTGAACCGGCAGAGTTGGCAGGTTTCAACCCACTTCATGGTTCAAGGTTGATTTGAACGCTGACTTTGGTGTCTTTAGCCCCAAAAGGGTAGCCAGTATCCCTTCCCATAAAAGACACACCCATACAGTCTGGTAGGGACCAGGTCATGCCAGCAGCTCGCATGGGTGCATCGAGTTGTCTCCTATATTGCAAGTGGATCATCACCCATCAAACACTGATGAACCGCAAAATTCACATTTCCCTGCTTCCCTTGCAAAATCAACCCTGACTCCTGTTAAATGAAAATAATTGGGGGTGTATTTTTGCATTTTGGGGCCCTCCAAAGTGGCGGTCTTCATTTCGGGTGTCCCTTTAAACCACACACAAGAATCTGTTCCCTCAAAAGACAGGACCTCAGAACCATCCGATTCGGTCACTCTCGCCAGGCCATGGCGTCTTCGCCGGCGTCTCTGGTTGTCCATCGGCCGTGTGGATTTTGTGGGGAAACAGCCCTGTGCTTTGCTGCTGTGTGGGCGTGTAGCTTTGTGCTACATATTCCTATCCATTGGTTTTCGAGTTCCCCGAAAGACGCAAAGCCGTGGCATCTTTGTCACTTGTCCAGGCAAAGGTCCTGGGGACGCCATTGGCTTACATGATGTGCCATGCCTAGCTTTGACGTTGATCGAAATTTAGAACATCAAATGTTGCCTGGGTCCCGCAGTGTGCCCCTTTACCCTTTTTGCGGGAGGGTTTTCCCTTAGTAAGATAGACTACAGGAAAAAGGACACCCTTATTCTAACTCTAACCCCTTCGCTGTGCACGGCATGTCGTAGTCGCAATTTTCGAACGGACAGCGGACGGACTGCGTTCCTGGCTCCGACCTTCAAGTAGATCTTGGGTCGCATGATATGCCCTGATTGGGATATGGGCGGTTCTCTAAACAAAAATGGTTCCGAATGTGTGGTTGTGAAAGTGGGTGTGTTTTTAGCAATTCCCGAATATGCCGGATATGACGTGCTCTTCCTCTCTGCGTGTGTTTGCGTTGCGATTGAACATGCGGCATTTCTCCTTTGAGCAGTCTGAGAGAGCTGCAAAGCAACAATATAATTCGTGCGACCAGGAAGTCAAATTTGAAGACATGCATTTACCAGGCTGACGCTTGACTGCTGCCGACCCCTTGCATGTTGCCGTCTAACACGCCGGCCGACTGAAGCTCATTCGAGCAATCAAGATGTGGGATGGTCGGGATGGCTGGGAGGTCGGGGTGTCTGGGAGGGCTGGCATGGTCTAATTTTGCGAGGTGGAGATGTAGACTTTTCGCACCTCACAAATTGATCGGAAAATCAGGCTTGGTTAGGATGGACGCCCCAGGGCCAGCCCCAGGATCAGCCTCAGAGCAGCTCTTGCCTTGAAAGCCAACCCCTCAGCATCAGGGTTACCCAGCACCGAACTACCAGCCCCAGCCCCAGGGCAGGGCCAGCCCCAGCGCCAGCCTAGCGGTGCTGAAGCAAGTTCTCCAGCCTGCACAACCTTTTCAACATCGTGGAACGGTCCTTGTCCCCGGCCTGGCAGGGCTGGCCCAGGGCCACCCCATGGCGCGTAAACCACGCCCTCCTGAATGCGAGTCGGCGAACGGCAGGAGGGGTCGGCGGATTACTTGCTGGTGCTCAGTAGGGAATGATCCACGGTTTGGGGAATGAACCTAGAGAATCCCGGCAAAAGAACCCCGAACCAGCAACATGATGTCGTATGCACCGGCCATACTGAACTTTGAAGCCCTGGAATGAATATTATGCAAATATCCAATAGCTGGAAGGGAATCGAACCATTCCAGAAAAAAAAAAAAAAGCAAAGAAACACACCTCACCATAAATCATTTGGGAATTTCTGCAAATGGGTGTGGCTCAAAATTAAACAGGAGGGGCAGACCGCAGGTTTTGGTCCATGTTTCCACTTGCCAGGGCAACCCATTTTGGCACCGTTTTTTTGAATTCGCAACAGCCAAGCAGCAACAAGCAATGGCTTGATCCAAAACAACAACAAACGAAAAGTATCACCTCACCATAAATCATTTGGGAATTCTGCAAATGGGTGTGGCTCAAAATTAAACAGGAGGGGCAGACCGCAGGTTTTGGTCCATGTTTCCACTTGCCAGGGCGACCCATTTTGGCACCGTTTTTTGTTTTTTTTTGTAATTCGCAACAGCCAAGCAGCAACAAGCAATGGCTTGATCCAAAACAACAACAAACGAAAAAGTATCACCTCACCATAAATCATTTGGGAATTCTGCAAATGGGTGTGGCTCAAAATTAAACAGGAGGGGCAAACCGCAGGTTTTGGTCCATGTTTCGACTTGCCAGGGCGACCCATTTTGGCACCGTTTTTTTTTTTTGTAATTCGCCACAGCCAAATAGCAACAAGCAATGGCTTCAGCCAAAAAACAAAAACAAAAAATATCACCTCACCATAAATCATTTGGGAATTTCTGCAGATGGGTGTGGCTCAAAATTAAACAGAAGGGGCAAAACGCAGGTTTTGGTCCATGTTTCCACTTGCCAGGGCAACCCATGTTGGCACCGGTTTTTTGAATTCGCCAAAGCCACATAGCAACAAGAAATGGCTTCAACCAAAAATCAAAAATACAAAATATCACCTCACCATAAATCATTTCGGAATTTCTGCAGATGGGTGTGGCTCAAAATTAAACCGGAGGGGCAAACCGCAGGTTTTGGTCCATGTTTCCACTTGCCAGGGCAAACCATGTTGGCACCAAAAAAAGAAGCACCTAGCCATAAATCATTTGCGAATGTCTGCAAATGGGTGTGGCTCAAAAAAATCAAACAGGAGGGGCAAACCGCAGGTTTTGGTCCATGTTTCCACTTGCCAGGGCAACCCATTTTGGCACCAAAAAAAAAAGCACCTAGCCATAAATCATTTGGGAATTTCTGCAAATGGGTGTGGCTCAAAAAATCAATCAGGAGGGGCAAACCGCAGGTTTTGGTCCATGTTTCCACTTGCCAGGGCAACCGATTTTGGCACAAAAGAAAGGAAGCACCTAGCCATAAATCATTTGGGAATGTCTGCAAAAGGGTGTGGCTCAAAATTACACAGAAGGGGCAAACCGCAGGTTTTGGTCCATGTTTCCACTTGCCAGGGCAACCCATTTTGGCACAAAAAACAAAGCACCTAGCCATAAATCATTTGGGAATTTCTGCAAATGGGTGTGGCTCAAAATCAATCAGGAGGGGCAAACCGCAGGTTTTGGTCCATGTTTCCACTTGCCAGGGCAACCCATTTTGGCACAAAAAGAAGAAGCACCTAGCCATAAATCATTTGGGAATGTCTGCAAATGGGTGTGGCTCAAAAAAATCAAACAGGAGGGGCAAACCGCAGGTTTTGGTCCATGTTTCCACTTGCCAGGGCAACCCATTTTGGCACAAAAGAAAGGAAGCACCTAGCCATAAATCATTTGGGAATGTCTGCAAAAGGGTGTGGCTCAAAATTACACCGGAGGGGCAAACCGCAGGTTTTGGTCCATGTTTCCACTTGCCAGGGCGACCCATTTTGGCACAAAAGAGAAGCTCCTAGCCATAAATCATTTGGGAATGTCTGCAAATGGGTGTGGCTCAAAATTAAACCGGAGGGGCAAACCGCAGGTTTTGGTCCATGTCTCCACTTGCCAGGGCGACCCATTTTGGCACAAAAAACAAAGCTCCTAGCCATAAATCACTTGGGAATTTCTGCAAATGGGTGTGGCTCAAAATTAAACCGGAGGGGCAAACCGCAGGTTTTGGTCCATGTTTCCACTTGCCAGGGCGACCCATTTTGGCACGAAAAACAAAGCACCTAGCCATAAATCATTTGGGAATTTCTGCAAATGGGTGTGGCTCAAAATTAAACCGGAGGGGCAAACCGCAGGTTTTGGTCCATGTTTCCACTTGCCAGGGCGACCCATTTTGGCACGAAAAACAAAGCACCTAGCCATAAATCATTTGGGAATTTCTGCAAATGGGTGTGGCTCAAAATTAAACCGGAGGGGCAAACCGCAGGTTTTGGTCCATGTTTCCACTTGCCAGGGCAACCCATTTTGGCACAAAAGAAAGGAAGCACCTAGCCATAAATCATTTGGGAATGTCTGCAAAAGGGTGTGGCTCAAAATCAAACAGGAAGGGCAAACCGCAGGTTTTGGTCCATGTTTTTACTTGCCAGGGCAAACCATTTTGGCACAAAAGAAAGGACGCACCTAGCCATAAATCATTTGGGAATGTCTGCAAAAGGGTGTGGCTCAAAAAAATCAAACAGGAGGGGCAAACCGCAGGTTTTGGTCCATGTTTCCACTTGCCAGGGCAACCCATTTTGGCACCAAAAAAAGAAGCACCTAGCCATAAATCATTTGGGAATTTCTGCAAATGGGTGTGGCTCAAAA